GGCCGGTAAGGCAGGCGGGGAACGTTAGAGTCCTCTGTCACTGAAGCAAGCAAGCCTCATGTTCGCTTTAAGCTGCCTGGCTGCCAGCTGCCATCTTGACTGGCAGTTAATTTTCATATTGCCCTGATTAGCCAATGGGAAGGGTAGCGGTCGTACGCTAATTACCATGTTTCTCTTTTATTAGATAGGATTCTTTTTCCTAAACCATCACTTGGACCATGCGACTTAACTGCCTAATAAATTACTTTCTAATACCTATACATTAAGATCCAGGCCCCTTAATTGGTGTATTTAAGGCCACACAAGATCTGAGTCTAATTATCCCTCCAAGATTATCCCCCAGTTAGCCCATACTTGAATGTCAGCTAAATTGAACTTCTTGTTAACCCCCAGAACATCTCATACTTGCTGTCCCTTTTCTTCCTTTCATCATACCCAGTCCTTTAAATGCCAGTTTTAGAAGTCTTCATTTTACCCTCCTAATTCCCAGTTATTTCTTTCTTCTGTGAACTCCTACTAAGTTGGCATATGCTTCTTTGTATCGTCATTCTCCTCTCTCCTCCCTTACTTTCCCCTCCTTGCCAGGCACATGTACACAATACATACACACCTATATATTTCTTCTCCCTAAATAAATTGCAAACTCCTTGAGGATAGGGACTATGTTTGAATACCTTTGACTCCATCAGTGCCTTACAATGTTTTGTGTGTAAGTAGGTATTTAATAAATGTTTATGGAATGAATATAAAGTGCAAAGGATTGTTAGAGAAGGGTCATTGAACAAATGGGGTCACCAAAGGTAGATAATATAGGTAAAGAATCGATTTTGAGGTTTCACTATCTCTTCTGCTCTCTGTATGTGTCCCTATATCTACTCCAGGGTAAACAGCTGTGTGAAGAGTGATGATCATGTCCTGGAAGAGTTAGAAACAGAAGGGGAGAGGCAGCTGAAAAGCCTCCTTCAGCATCAACTTGACACCTCTGTCTCCATTGAGGAGTAAGTATTGATTTTGCAAACAGGTAAAGTATCATAGACCTTCACCTCCAGGTGACCCCTTTTAAAGCCTGGATGCAACACTCCTTTTCCACCCCCTGTTCCTTGGCAAACTTCTACGTATTAGGCAGGGTTTTGCTTCTATGTCTTTTCCTCTGCAGATCCTCCCATATTCTACTACATATATGCTAAGTATCTTTCCTATGTCTTCCCTTAACATACATAGCACTTACAACCCAATATTATCATTGCCTGTTTACTTGTCTCTCCTTCTACTGTTCTTCCACAAAAGCAGAAACCATTTTTTATCTTTTAAACTGTTAAATCCTCAATACCCAGCATAGTGTCTGATGTATAGTAAATACTCAATAATCAAATATTTGATTCAGTCATTTATTAGTCCTGGATGAGGGGACTATTGGTGGAGTTCCATATTGGTAACAGTGGCACTTCAGCCTAGAAATAGGACATGAGAAATTGCCGATGAGTTTCATTGTGCCTCTTTTAATGGTGAGCCCTATTTCTGTGAATTGTAATTTGAAGATGTTCTTACTCTCTTCATTCTTGGTTTGCAGATGTGTGTCTAAGAAAGAGAGTTTTGCTCCTGGTACTATGTATAAGCCCTTTGGGAAGGAAGCAGCCGGAACTATGACTTTGTCCCAGTTTCAAACATTGCATAAGAAGGACCAGGAAATTGCTGCCCTCAGGGAACTAGGGCTCAATGAAACAGAAATCTTGATCTGGAAGAGCCATGTTTCAGGTGAAAAGGTGAGTGGGGCAGTTTTTTTCTGGAAAGTGCAGAGCAAATGTCTTCATTTGGCACTGAGAACCTTTTTATTTTTAATTCTCACAAAACTAAGCTTTGTGTCTGAATCTTCTTTGATTCCTAGGACAGGGACCTTGGGAAAAGAGAAACTATCCCTTGACTGATTAGCTACCGTATCTATAAATACTCATTCTGGGCCTTGATCATCATTGCTCTTACTTTAAGTATCAGACCATCCCTTTAAGGGTATGTCCTCTATGATATATGCCCTCTCATTTCTCTGATTTCAGAGGACGAAACTGAGGGCAACCCCTGAAGCAATACAGAACTGCCTTCAAGATATTGAAGAAAGGATCTCAGAGCGTCAGCGCATCCTTTGCCTGCCACAGAGATTTGCTAAAAGCAAACAGCTGACCCGGCGAGAAATGGAAATAGAAAAATCTTTATTTCAGGGTGCTGATCGTCACTCCTTCCTTAAGGCTCTTTACTACCAAGGTATGTGATCACCACTGATGTGTTCTTTCACTAAGAGAGAGAGATTTACCATTAGCGCATTAAATATGAAGAGTTAGTGAAGTGGGTAGGGGAAAGACAAACTTTCACTACTCTTAAGGAATGTGTGAGAGACAAATATGTTCAGAGTTAGTTGCAGTTCAATTGCTATTTGTAGACATGTGAAGAAAATGCTGAGGGAGCACAGAACATAGAGCCTCAAGTCTAGTTGGGGGAGTCAGGAGTTGACATTTCTAAATCCTGATGGTTTAACAGAGATTTGTCAGGTTAACAAGATGCAGAGGACATTACAGATAATAGGTGAATAGGAACAGGATTGTGAAAGGACCTGGGAACAATGAAAAGGTCAGTGTGGCAGGCAGTATAGGACTTGGCAGGGAATTAATTACAGGAGATGACACTAGAAAGATAGGTGAGGCTAGATTGTAAAAGTTTTTAGACTGAACTATAAATTAGCACAAAATCTATAGAGAAATGGTCTGTGTCTTAACCAGAAAGAATGAGTGTAACAGATAAGTTTTGCTAGGCACTGTGTAAGGTGCACAGAAGTTTAAGAAATGGTTCCCAACATTAAGCCAATTACAGTCTGGTTTGAGAGAAACAGGACATTTTACTAACAATACTAGATACAGTTGTTAAGTGCTGTAGGAGTTCAGAGGAGGAAAAGGCTACTGTGCATTGGCATGACTAAAGAAGTCCTCTTGGAGGTACGGTTTAAATGTTCTTTTAATGCTATATTCTTTAGGGTGGAGAGGGAAAGGCATCACAGCAGATATTGTGAGCACTGTGGTGTGTTTGGGGATGTTGTGAGAGACAAGGTAGCTAAAATTTTTGGCCTTTATGTGGTAGACAGTATAGACCTATACAGAGTTAGTTATTCAGTTAGTTAGTTTGGATATGGTTAAAGGTTTTTGAACCAGGAGTAACATGAGAAAAGCAGTATTTGAAATGATTAATCTAGTGACCAAGAAATACAGGGTGGGGCAAAGGTAGATTTATATGGAAAATAGTACAATACTTAATAAATAATAATACAAGAATAAACTGTTTTACATATTCACAACTGTAGACCTACTTTTGCCCCATCCTGTATGATGAGAGAGAGAGAGAGATGGAAGCAGAGGAAATGATTTAAGAGGTAATACAGTCCTTAGGCATGAAGATATGGACTAGAATGATGGCAGTGGAATTAGAAAGAGGTAGATATGATTGTAAGAGATATTACAAAGTAAGAATTGGTAAAACTTGTTGACTGAGGCTGAAGTAGGACAGTCAATAAAGAAGAGTGTGTCAAAGGTAATCCAGGTGTTTCAAGGCTGTGTGACTTAATTGTCAAAATTGAGAAAGCTTTTATGGGGAAATTTTGAGGAAAATAATGAGTTTGATTTTGAACATGTTGAATTAGTGAGAATGGCAGGTTCATTAAATGCAGATATTGAGGAGGCAGTTAGAAATACAACAATGAAGCTCAAGGGAGAGGTCAGAACTAGATCTATAGAATTGGGAATCATCTATGCTTAGATCAGAAGTAAAGCCATGAGAATGAATGAATGATTTGTTAGATACCATAGACATGGAAGAGCAGTGGTGAAGGAAGGAAAAAAACAACAACAAAGGAATAGCCTTTTGTAGAGAGGTATTAATACCAACTGATTAAGGACATGGGTTCTGGAGGCAGACTCATGGGAAAATTCTGGTGCCCCACTTAATTCTGGTGCTTTAAGATTTTGGGCAAGTTACCACTCTATGCTTCAGTTTCTTTGTGAAGTGACAATATTAATAGTAGCTATATAGTAGGATTGTTCAGAAGGTTGAGGTAATACATGTGAATCAGAGCAGTGCCTGGTATTTGGGGGTGGGTGGGTAGTATATGAATCTGTTTTTCCTATCTTTGAAACTCCTTACTTTAAACCTTCACAGCATACCACAAAAAGACAAGTGCAGACAAGTACATGACCTCAATGAAGAGGAAGATAAAATTAGGCACAAAAGGCAAGTTGAGAGTTTTCTTACAGTGTTAGATTTAGGAATGTAACCTAGGGTCCCAGACTTCTAAGTTGAGTGTTTATTTAATTCCTTATCCAGTATATGACAATGTTTATAGGAAATTATCCAGAGGTAGCATATTATTCTGATATAGAATATTAAAGAGAGGAGCTAGAAGTTGTAAAGCTTTTACATTTAGTGTTGTTGAGTTTTTTTCTCTATACCTTTAAGTTATTGTACCAGACATAAAACAACCTTAATAATTTTTACATCTTATTTCACAAGTAATTCTGAATATTTTTATTATTCAGTAAAGTATAAATATTGATGATGATGATGATGATATAATAGCTAATATTTTCTTTTATATTTTAAATGAACTTAACAATGATTTTTTGGGGGTGGACAATTCTGTGAATTGTAAAGCATGTAAATCATGTAGATTCATGTAATCACCACCACAGTCAGGATAAAGAACAGCTCCATCACCCTAAAACTTTTTCATACTGTCCATTGGTAGTCACCCCCAACTCCACCCATAATCTCTGGCAATCACTGATCTGTTTTCCATCACTGTAGTTTTGTCTTTTATAGAATGTCATACAAATGGAATCACAAGATATGTAATCTTTTGAGAGTAGCTTCTTTCATTCAGTGTAATGCCTTTGAAATTCATGCAAGTTGTGTGTATCAATAGTTCATTCATTTTGCTGAGTGGTGTTCCAAAGTTTGTTTATTCATTCACCCATTGAAGTATATTTGAGCTGTTTTCAGGTTATGGTGATTATGAATAATACTGATGTGAACATTCTTGTACAGGTTTTTGTGTGAACATAAAATTTTTATTTCTCCAAGGTAAAATATCTAGGAGTGGGATTACTGGGTCATATGGTAAGTGCTTGTTTAACTTTATAAGAACCTGCCAAACCATTTTCCAGAGTGGCTGAATCATTTTGCGTTCCCACCAGCAATGTATGAGAGTTCCAGTTGCTCTGCATCTTTGTCAGCATTTGGTATTGTTGGTACTTATTTTAGTTATTCTATTAGCTGTGAAGTGGTATCTCATTGTAGTTTTAATTTGCATTTCCTTGGTGGCTAATGATGTTGAACATCTTTTCATATGCTTATTTGCCATCCTTATATCCTGTTTGCTGATGTGTCTGTTCACATCTTTGGCTGTTTTTAATTCGGTTATTTATTTTCTTCCTGATGACTTGTGAGAGTTCCTTATATATTTTAAACACAATTCTTTGTTGGATATCTGATTTGCAAATATTTTTATCCCAATATGTAGTATGTCTTTTCATTCTTTTAACACTATCTTCTGTAGAACAAAATTTTTATTATGGTAAAATATACCTTACTAAAATGGACTGTTTTAACCATTTTGTTAAGTGTTCAGTTCTGTGACATTAAGTATATTCACATTGTTGTGCAACCATCACCACTGTCCATCTACACAACTTTTTCATCTTCTCAAACTGAAACTGTATACCCATTAAACACTAACTCCCCTTTCTCCCCTCTCCTCAGCCCCTGGCAACCACTGTTCTTTCTGTCTCTATGAATTGACTACACTAGGTACCTCATGTAAGTGGGATTATACAGTATTTGTCCTTTTTTCACTTTGCATAATGTCTTCAAGGTTATTCATGTTGTAGCATATGTCAGAATTTCCTTTTTTAAGGCTGAATAATAATCCATTGTATGGATACACCATGCTTTTTTAGTCCATTCATCTGTCAATAGACACTTATTTTGCTTCTACCTTTTGACTCTTGTGAATAATGCTGCTATGAACCTGGATGTATAAGTATCTGTTGAAGTCACTGCTCTCCATTCTTTTGAGTAAATACCCAGAAGTAGAATTGCTGGATCATATGGTAATTCTATGTTTATTTAATCTTTTGAGTAATCACCACTGGTTTCCATAGAGGCTATATCATTTTGCCTTCCCACCAGCAATGTACAAGGATTCCAGTTTCTCTATACCCTCGCCAACACTTACTTTCTTTTATTTATTTTTTTAGACTAGACATCCTAATGTGTGTGAAGTGGTATTTCCTTATAGTTTTTTTTTAAACATATCTTATTGATTTTTTACAGAGAGGAAGGGAGAGAGATAGAGAGTTAGAAACATCGATCAGCTGCCTCCTGCACATCTCCCACTAGGGATGTGCCCGCAACCAAGGTACATGCTCCCAACCGGAATCGAACCCAGGACCCTTCAGTAATACGTCAGCAGCCAAACGGTTAATGATGAGAGAAAATCATTGATTGGCTGCCTCCTGCACACCACCCACCAGGGATCAAGCCCACAACCCAGGCATGTGCCCTGACCAAAAATCGAACTGTGACCTCCTGGTTCATAGGTTGATGCTCAACCATTGAGTCACACCAGCTGGGTTCCTTACAGTTTTGTTTTTCATTTCCCTAATGACTAGTGATGTTGGTCATCTTTTCATGTGCTTTTTGGACATTTGTATATCTTTGGAGAAATGTCTAAGTCCTTTGCTATTTTTTAAATAGGTTGTTTATTTGTTGTTCGGTTGTAGGAGTTCTTTATATATTCTGGACATTGATCCTTTATCAGATTTATGATTTGTCTATATTTTCCCCAATTCCTTGGGTTGCCTTCTCTCTCTGTTGATAGTGTCCTCTGATGCACAAAAGTTTTTATTTTTTATGGAGTCCAGTTTCTCAATATTTTCTTTTGTTACTTGTGTTTTTATTGTCTTATCCAGTAAATCACCGCCAAATCTAATATCATAAAGCATTTCTCCTGTATTATCTTCTGAGAGTTTTATATTTTTAGCTCTTACATTTAGGTCTTTAGTTCATTTTGAGTTACTTTTTGTGTATGGTATAAGATAAAAGGTCCAACTTCATTTTTTAAATGTTGGTATTTAGTTTTTCCAGTACTACTTGTTGAAGACTGTTTTTCCCCATTAAATGGACTTAGCACCATCTCTGAGAATCATTTGACCATTAATATAAGAGGTTCTCCATTGTATTCCAGTGGTTTATATTTCTGTCTTTAAAGCAGTGCCACACTGTTTTAATTACTATAGATTTGAAATCAATAATTTTGTTCATATTAAAAATTGTTTTCACTATTTGTGGCCCCTTGAAATACCATATGAATTTTAGGATAGCTTTTCCTATTTCTGCAAAAATTGTCATTGGGATTTTGGTAGAGATTATATTGAACCTATAGATCACTTTGGGTAATATTGACATCTTAACAATATTAGGTGTTCAATCCATGAACATGGGATGTCTTTACATTTGTTTGTGTCTTTAATTTCTCTCAGCAACATTCTGTAGTTTTCAGTGTACAACTTTTTTGCTTCAGCAAATGTTTTAAATTTTGAGATAATACAGTTTGTCAGATTTTTTTTCTCTCATGGATCATGGTTTATTTTTCACATGCCTAAGAACTCTTTCTAATACCAGATTATGAAAAATATTTTTCCTTTGTTTTCTTATAACAGTTTTATAGTTGTATATAGATCTATGATTCACTTTGACTTTGTATAAGATGTGAGGGTTAGGTTGAGCTTTATTTTTTTGCCTATGTATGTCTAATTGTTCTAGCACTAATTGTTGAAAAGAGTATTCTTTTTCCATTTACTTGCCTTTGCATTTTTACCAGAAATCTGGCTATATGTTAGTATTAATAATGAACATCATAATTAATGGTGGAAAATTGGAAAAAATTCCCCCAGTATCAGGAATAAGGTAAGAATGTACACTCTCACCACTTCCATTCACAGTGGAATGAAATTAGAAACCAGTAATAGAAGGACATTGCCCTGGCCGCTAAGGCTCAGTTAGTTGAAGCATCATCCTGTACACCAAAAGATTGCGGGTTTGATTCCCGGTCAGGGCACATACCTAGGATGCAGGTTCGATCCCTGGTTGCAATGCATACAGGAGGCAACCAATCAGTGTTTCTCCCTCTCCTTCTCTCTCTCCCTTCCTCTCTCTCTAAAATCAATAATAAAAAAATAATAATAGAAGGAAATTAAGAAATCTAAAAATATGCGGCAATTAAATAACTACTGAATAACCAGTTGATCAATAAAGTCCCAAAGGGCATTAGAAAATACTTTGAAATGAGTAAAAACAAACATAACATATCATAACTTATGGGATGCAGTAAAAGCAGTATTTTAAGGGGATATTTAAAAGGTGGAAATGCCCATATTAGTAAAAAAGAAAGATCTCAAATTACTAACCAAAACTTCTATTCTAAGAAGCTATAAAAATTTGGCCAAACCCATAAAAATGTACAACACCAAGAGTGAACCATAATGCAAATTATAGGCTGGGTAAATTATGATGTGCCAGTATAGGTTCATTATTTGTAACAAATATACCACTCTAATGGGAGATATTGATAATAGGTGAGGCTATGCATGTGTAGGGACAGGGGACTGTGGGGAATTTCTGTACCTTCCCTTCAATTTTGCTGCTAACCAATAACTTCTCTAAGAAAATAAAGTCTTAATAAAATAAAAAATAAACCACAAAAAGAAGAGCAAACTAAACTCATATCAAACTAAAGGAAAGAAATAATAAAGTTTAGAGGCAAAATAAATAAAATAGAGAATTGAAAAAATAGAGAAAACCAACAAACCAAAAGTTGTGTGTTTTTTTTTGGAAAGAGCAACAAAATTCACATTTCTTAAGCTAAACTTACCAAGGAAAAATGACAGAATACTCAAAATTCTTATACCCTGCTCTCTTTGATTCTTTTTTTCATTGAATAGCTTTGTCCATCATTTTACTTTCAACCTTTTAAAAAATTCTAAATTGTAGACAGCAAATAGTTAGATTATGTTTCTTTTTTGGATTATGTTTCCTAGGTAGGATATTGTTCAGTTGAATAGAGTGTTTACTTCATTTATATTTAACTAGAAGCCCTTTGCACAAAGAGATTCATGCAATAGGCCTTCCTTCCCCTGGCTGCCGGCAACAGTTTTCCTCCAGTACCCAGGACC